AAAATATAGTAATGGTGGGCCTGTTACATTAACTGTGGTATTAGTGCAGCTCAGTGTAGTGGATTTCTGATGAAAAACAGTTTAGCTAACACTATTGTTGTTTGAAGAAAGCTTGGACAGATTTTGTTGTTGCTGTTCACAAATCATGGTATTACATGATCACTTGGTTTTCGCCTTGTGAAATCATGATTGGCATCATGATTTCCACTTCGGTGAAGACAGTCAAGGCTGTTTGTTACCAGTTGTGGTGGTCAACAGCCTCCAAACTGCTTGCAAGCCATCTCAACAGAGCATCAGACAGTTCCCTTGCTACCCATGTCGCACTTTGGAATTGACCTATTTGGCCGGGAAAACCCGCCGCCAGGTTATCATTCTGCTTCGGAATTATGGAGGATTCAAAATCTTGGCCCACCGCCCGATCAACTAGCAGTAAGAACAGAAATTTCCTTTGTTATGCTCAGATGAGGAATGCAAATTAATTGTTTTTTTTCTTGCATCCAGACTCAGACAATTGATTTAAGCACAAGCTTCAAATTAGTCTACCCTGACAAAAACTCAAACAACAAGCTCACTTGGATACCAAGGAAATCAAAAGGGAAGTTTTTAATTTCAATTCCAGCCATTTCCACAACATTTGAGCAATTCCGTGAAATTGTTGCTAGAAAGTGCAAAGAGAATTCTGAGGGTGCAGGAGTGATTGTTCAAAATGCACTTGAGTCCGGCTCTCCTGGCATCAACTGTAAGGTCTGGATGAATCTTCCAGCAGCCCACAAGTTTAAAAAGAAAGCCAACTATAAAGTTAACAACATCAATTCATTCACCCACTGGACGGCAACCATCATTGCAAATGGGAAGGACAGGACCAATGCAAGCTTGGAAGTCAAAATGATCAGCCCAGCCAATTTAGAGAAAGAAGCAAAGGCGGCTGTGAAGATCAAACAACATGTGATGACCCATGCGTCAACTTCAAAGCATCAAGATCCGTCGACCTTGGTTGCAGCCAAGGATTTCGATATATACAATGTCTACAAGGATCAGATCTTCGATGCTCATCCACCGAACATCAAATACCACAAGAGGATTCCGGTCTTCATTGATCCAGCCGATGAAACTCGTTACATCCTCTTGACAACTGTCAATGTTGAGAAATGGGCCAAAGCCCTTGTGAGTAGATTGAATTTCATCGGACCCTTTAAATCAGGCATAACTGACTTCTGGTTTTTAGATGAAACCCAATACTACAGTTTCAATTCACTAGCCACCACCTGAACTCAAATTCGAGAAGTTATCTGCCTCAAAAAAGCGTAACCTAGATCGTTGTTCAAGCTCTCGTACTGTAAACCCCCCCTCCGGCTGGGTTCACAAACCTCTCACTCACATGTCACATTTCAATTTTAGTTTTGTTCTTTCAGTTCTTCTTCCTGGCTCTGCAGAGAATTGCTCCCTTCCATCTCTCTGAGCCAGGTGAGTGTGAATTTCCTTTCTTCTTGTTTTTCTTTCCTTCCCCTCTCTTTCTAGATTGTACTGAGAGAATTTCTCCCTTCCATCTCTCTGAGCCAGTAATAAAAGCTCCTGTGTTTGGTCTTAGAAACTCCTAGGCTCCTTGCCCGTCCCTTTGTGCCATACTACGACTCATCTAGTGAAGGACAATTGCAGTCCTTACACGTACTTGCAGGATCAGTTCTCAATCTGATTCCAATGGGTCTTCCGTAGTCAATCCAGGAGTCAACTTGCTTGAGGCGTATCTCAAATTCATCAAGATCCCAACTATTGAAAAGAGCAAGATTGCAAGGATTCTCACTGAACACAAGGCAATGAATCCTAGATTTTTCCAATCAAAGAGCATCACCCAAGATGTGATGAAAGGCTGGGGCTTAGAGCATCTCCACGGGGGTCGCTAAATTGGGTCGCTATCCCACATTTAGCGACCCAAACTTAAAAAAGATGACCCACCGGAGTCGCCATCCGGGTCACTTTTTTACAATTTTCTGCCTCGATCCCTATCCAGTCTTCAAACTTGAAGACTCGATAGCGACTCTGGATGCAAGGAGGATCACAGGCTACTCCTGTGTTCCTTCTGTGAAACCCAAACACCACACATCACCACCTCGCCCAATCATCAGATAGCGACTCCCTCATAACGATGCCCGGTGTGTGCCTCAGCACTTTGGGTCTTCAAACCTTGAATTCTGGGTCGCTATCGTGAGAAC